GGAACATAACAATGGACACCAAGGAAATCCAGAGAATCATCAGGTCATACTTTGAAAACCTGTACTCCACAAAATTTGAAAATTTAAAGGAAACGGACAATTTTCTGGAGAGATATCACTTACCAAAATTAAAACAAGAACAGATAAGCAATTTAAATAGACCTGTAACTCCTAATGAAATAGAAGCAGTCATCAAAAGTCTCCCAACCAAAAAAAGCCCAGGACCAGATGGTTTCAGTGCAGAATTCTACCAGAAATTCAAAGAAGAGATGATATCAATACTCCTCAAAGTGTTCCACACAATAGAAGTGGAACAGTCACTGTCAAACTCTTTCTACAAGGCTACAATTACCTTAGTACCCAAGCCACACAAAGACACAACTAAGAAAGAGAACTACGTACAGACCAATCTCCCTCATGAATATTGATGCAAAAATACTCAATAAAATACTGGCAAATCGAATCCAAGAACACATCAGAAAAATCATACACCATGATCAAGTAGGCTTAATTTCAGAGATGCAGGGATGGTTCAATATACAAAAAAAAAAAAAACCTGTTAGTGTAATCCACCATATAAACAAACTGAAAAAGAAAACCACATGATATGATCATCTCACTAGATGCTAGAAAACACCCCTTCATGATAAAGGTCTTGGAGAGATCAGGGATAACTGGAACATACCTAAACATAATAAAGGCAATAGCCAATATCAAACTAAATGGAGAGAAACTCAATGTGATTCCTCTAAAATAAGGAACAAGACAAGGTTATCCACTCTCTCCATATCTCTTTAATATTGTACTTGAAGTTCTAGCTAGAGCAATAAGGCAACAAAAGGATATCAAGGGAATAAATATTGGAAAGGAAGAAGTAAAACTTTCACTATTTGCAGATGATATGATAGTTTATGTAAGTGATCTGAAAAATTTTTATCAGGGAACTCCTACAGCTGAAAAACACCTTCAACAAAGTGACAGGATACAAGACTAACTTACAAAAGTCAGTAACCAGATAAATAGTCTGAGAAAGAAATCAGAGATGCATCACCCTTCACAATAGCCACAAACAACATAAAATATCTTGGGCTAACTCTAACCAAACAAGTAAAAGACCTGTATTACAAGAACTTGGAGTCTTTAAAGAAAGAAATTAGAGAAGATACCAGAAAATGGAAAGATCTCCCATGCTCTTGAATAGGTGGGATCAACATAGTAAAAATGGCAACCATACCAAAAGCAATCTACAGATTCAATGCAATCCCCGTCAGAATTCCAATACAGTTCTTCACAGACCTCGAAAGAACAATGCTTAACTTCATATGGAAAAACAAAAAACCCAGGATAGCTAAAACAGTCCTGTATAATAAAGGAACTTCTGTAGGTACTGCCATCCCTGACTTCAAGGTGTACTATAGAGCTATAGTAATAAAAACAGCATGGTGTTTGCATAAAAACAGACAGGTGGATCAATGGAATCAGATTGAAGACCTTGATGTAAATCCACATACTTATGAACACCTGATTTTTTACAAAGAAGCCAAAATTATGAAATGGAAAAAAGAAAGCATCTTCAACAAATGGTGCTAGCATAACTGGATGTTTGAATGTAGAGGAATGCAAATACATCCATATATATATATATATGCATATATATATATATATATATATATATATATATATATATATATGCACGAACTCAAGTCCAAGTGGATCAAAGACCTCAACATAAATCCAGTCACACTGAACCTCATAGAAGAGAAAGTGAAACACTAAGATTGATAATTAATAAATGGGACATGTTGAAATGGAGAAATTTCTGTAAAGCAAAGAACATGGTCAGTATGACAAAACAGCAGCCAACAAATGGGAAAAGATCTTCACCAACCCCACATATGACAGAGGGCTGATCTCCAAAATGTAGAAAGAACTTAAGAAACTAGACATCTAAATACTAAATAATCTGATTAAAAATGGAGTACAGGATTAAACAGAGAATTCTTAACAGAAGAATCTCAAATGGTAGCGAAACACTTAAAGAATTGTTCATCATCCTTAGCTATCAGGGAAATGCAAATCAAAATGGTTCTGAGATACCATCTTACACCTGTCAGAATGGCTAACATTAAAAAAAAACAAATGCTAACAGCAGCCTATGTTGGAGAGGATGTGAAGCAAGGGGCACACACTCCTCCATCACTGCATGTATTTCTGTGTGAGGATGTCTGATTCCCTAGACCAGTGAGAGTGCGCACTTGTACAGCCACTTTGGAAATCGGTATGTTGGTTTCTTAGAAAATTGGGAATCAGTCTATCACAGGGCCCAGCTATACTAATCTTGAGCATATACCTAAAGGATGCACAATCATAACACAAGGATACTTGCTCACCTGTGTTCATACCATTATTATTTGTAATAGTCAGAATCTGGAAACAACCTAGATATCCCTCAACTGAAGAATGGATAAAGAAAATGTGGTAATTTACATAGTGGAGTATTACTCAGCAGAAAACAAACAAACAAACAAACAAAACAGTGACATCAAGAAATTTTCAGGCAAATGGATGGAATTAGAGAAAAAAAATCATCCTGAGTGAGGTAACCCATACCCAGAGAGCCAAACAAGGTATGTACTTACTCATAAGTGGATTTTAGATATAAAGCAAAGGATAACCAGGCTACAATTCACTGCTCCAGAGAAGCTAGGTAACAAGGACCCTAAGGCAGACACATAGATTTCCATAGGAAGGGGAAATAGATGAGTTCTCCTGGGTAAACTGGAGGTGGGGTGGGAACATGAGGAATCAGGTTGGTCAAGTTGGAGTCAGGATGGAGGGGGCAAGTAATGAAAGCGATATCTTGATATGGGGGCCATTTTGGGGTTAACTTGATGCCAAGGAAACTCCCAGGAATCCACAAGGATGACCAGCTAAGACTCTTAGCAATAATGGAGAGGGTGTCTGAAAGGCCTTTTCCTATAATTAGATTGGTGACTACCCTAATTGTCATCAGAGAGCCTTCATCCAGTAACTATGGAAGCAGATGCAGAGATCCGCAGCCAAGCACTGGGCCAAGCTCCAGGAGTCCAGTCAAGAGAGGGAGGAATGATATGAGCAAGGGGGGTATCAAGGTCATGACAGGGAAATCCACACAGACAGCCTACCTGAGCTAACGGGAGCCCACAGAGTCTGGACAGATAGCTAGAGAGCCTGCATAGGACTGACCTAGATCCTCTTCATGTGGATGACAATTGTGTAGCTTGATCTGTTTGTGGGGCCCCTAGCAGTGGGACCAAGATCTGTTCCTGGTGCATGAGCTGGCTTTTTGGAACCTGTCCCCCATGCTGGGATGCCTCACCCAGCCTTGATGCTGCAGGAAGAGCTTGGTCCTGCTTCAGTGTAGTATGACCTGCCTTGTTGACTCCTCATGGGAAGCCTGCCCTTTCTGAAGGAGGAGTGGATGGAGGGATAGACAGGAGGTGAGGAAGAGAGGAGGGAGAGGAAACTATGGTTAGTATGTAAAGTGGATAAAAAAAAATTTAATAGAAAAAAAAAGAAAAGAAAAAAATGGGACATAGAATAATGGCTCCGTGGTTAAGGGCACTGGCTGCTCATCTAGAGGATCCAGGTTCAATTCCCAGCACCCACATGACAACTCACAACTGTCTGTAACTCCAATTCTAGGGGATCAGACAGCCTGACAGAGAAATACATGCAGGGAAAACACCAATGCACATAAAATAAAAATGTTTTAAAATGGAATACTATACAAAAGGTAAATATTTTGGAGTTTACCATTCAACTCATTCATTTACAATTGAAGAAGCAGGGGCTGGCAAGATGGCCCAGTGGGTAAAGATACTTGTCAAGCCTGGTAACCCGAGACTAATCCCTGTTAGCCACATAGTGGAAGGGGAAACTGACCTCTGCAAGTTGTTTTCTGAACTCTACACACTCATATTGCACACATACATATGCACACGTACTAAATAGATCAAGGATTCAACAATACGAATAAAAACTAAAAATTGAAGACACAGAAGCCTGGGTGATTTCTCTCCTTCAGGTTTACAGGGATGCATCACTTCCTGATGGAATAAAATGCAGTTTTTGCCAGTGTTTACCACTAAGCTGGGTCACCTCTAGTCAGATACCGGGTGGAGCCGGTCTGAGGTTTGCTCTGATGACCCTGCTCTCAGTTGCTTTTTGCGTCTTTATTTTTCTGGCGATGAGGTGACCTGTGGGTTAGCCAGTTACCCTATTAGAGATACCTCTGAGTTACCACAAAATCCCCATTGTTTTCTGGAGCAGGCTTAGACTTCTCCCACCGTGTGCACAGTTTCGGTGGTGACTATAACAGCAGCAGGCAGGGAAAGTGACCCATTTCTCCCAAGGTGGCATCTCTTCTTCATGAGGAATCGCTAAGCGTGGGCAGGCCTTTCGTGTGGTTTTGGCTTCTCTCTGGCTCTCTCTCTCTCCTTGCTTGGCTTGCTTTCTGGCTTGGCTTGCTTCTCCTACATGGAACCTGTGGCCCAGAAATAAGTAGGGGAAAAAGCAATCAAGGCCCTGGGGTTCTGGACCTAATGGCTGGTGGACAGAGCTGCCACTGTTTGCAGACGGGTTGGGTGGAGAAAAGGATGGTAGCCTCTGACTTCTTGGCTGCGTTCACCAGGGTTTTAGCCTCTGCAACCCAGAGCTCAGGGAATGCAGGGATGAGGTGGGGCAGGCCTTAGTGGCCTTTCTTGATGAAACACTGTCATAGGGAGAAGATGGGTTGTGAATGTAGCTTTTATTTATTTTTTTTTGGGGGGGGGGAGTTTGTAACAAGTCTTTTCCAACAGGAAGCAGACCTGTGGTATATATCACACTGCCATTTGGGAAGTCTGAGAATCTTTTCATTTACTTACTGATTTGTAAATTTTCTTTGGAATGAAGAAATATCTATTCTACAAAATGACCAAATGACTTTTTCCCTTTATGAAAATTGGTCTGTCTTTTTTTTTAATATGAAATACATCATGAATTGCATATCATCCTTGTGCAGGGCCCATACTAATCTTCTCTGTATTGGTCCAATTTTAGTAAGTGTGCTGCCAAAGCGAGCACATCTTTTTATTATTAAATTGTAAGAGTCCTTTTCATACTCTGGGTACAAGTCCTTAATCACATATGTCTTTACATACAGGTTTATTTTTAAGAGAGAGAGAGTGAGAGAGAGAGAGAATAAAAGGTGTGTGTGTGTGTGTGTGTGTGTGTGTGTTTGTGCGCACGCACACGCATATGTACAGATGACCTCAGAAGCCAGAAGTGGGCACCAGATCTCCCAGAGCTGGAGTTACAGATGATTGTGAGCTTCCTAACATGGATTCTGGGAACCAAACTCAGGTCTTTTGCTAGAACAGTATTTGCTTTTAATGAATCAGCCGTCTCCCACCCTCCTTTGTGATATATGCGATTGGAAATTCTTTGCTTCAGGGTATTTTTGTTGTTGTTTATGTCTTCTTGGCTATTAACTTATTCTACTTCTTTGTTTCTCTCTCTCTCTCTCCTCTCCTCCTCCCTTCTGTTCTCTACCTCCTCCTCCTCCTCTTCTTCCTTGATTTTTGGAGACAAAGTTTCTCTGTGCATCCTGGAAGACCAGGCTGGCCTTGAATTCAAAGATCTGCCTGCCTCTGCTTCCCAAGTGCTGGTATTAAAGGTGTGCACCATAGGTACTACCGTAGGTGCAGAGGTACCACTCAGGAGTTCTGTGGCCACCTGAGGCTGGGCCAAGGCTAAAAATAAGTTTTCAGCTGGAGATGTAGCTCAGTGTGACAGCACTCACCTGGTGTGCAAAAGGCCTGGGGTTCTACCAGCCACACCAAAACAAACAAAAACTGGCTGCGTAACAGTGTAACAAGACCTAGGAAATTAAATTTTATCCAGGAAGTTCTGTGCTAGAGGTAAGTGCAGACTGTGAAGATCTGGCCAAAAGAGGAGCTGTCTTATAGAAGATTAATTTCGTAGTTCTGGTTAACTTATCTATCTCATCATCAAATCTGCATGTGCAGACATATAAATCATATGCACGCTTTTATTTTCTCCTCTGAGGCAAGCTCTTATTTATCCCAGGCTGGGCCCTAACAAGCTGTGCAGCAGAACTTGTTGAACTCCAGACCATCCTGCTTCTATCCGCCAAATGCTGGTGTGGCTAATACACCCAGTTTATGCAATGTCAGGGACAGAACCCAGGAGACACACTGTAATGCCTCAGCTGCACCCAGCCTTCTATGCAGGTTTCTGTTTACTCGTTTCTGTAAATTACAATATTGCCACAGACAAGGTGTACATAAGTTAAAATTTTTCCCTTTTGGGTCCAAAAAAGTGAAGAAAACCGTTCTTTTACTGATTCAGGTCTTCCAACTTCTGGGTTAGGGTAATGGGACATGGGCCATGAAGCTCAGGTAGCAATTGTGAACTGAAAGTCCAAGAGGCAAAGTGGGGTTGGGAGAGAGCTGTGGAGAGGAGAAGAGGCCCTAAGGGACCTAAATTTAAATTTGCCCTTGTATTTGGGGACAGGGTCTACCATGGTTCTCCCAGGCCCTACCCAGGAGCTATGAACAAATAGACTGGATCTGTACCACAGCTGCCCAAGGAAAACCCCTCAAATGTGTCAGGATGAAGTCTGGGCCCAGGCACAGCGATTTATTTAGTTACTTAGTTTTGAAAAAGGATCTTTTGTGTAGTCCACGCTGGACTCAAATTTGGAATCCTCCAGCTTCTGCTTCCTGAGTTTTGGGATTTGCAGGTGTGGGCTGCTGCATCTACCCGCCCTCTTATCTTGCAGGAGCAGGAGTTGCCAGCCTGTGCTACCCATACTTCTTGTAAGAGTGAAGTGGGTTGGGAACCTGTGCTATAATAGGAATAACCCATCCTTTCTCCAGCCCCTCCCCCAATTCCCTCTACACTGACTAGGTCACACATAGATTCTTGTCTTTTAGGGGTGGTGGAGCTCTGCAGACAAGCATCAGGTACCAACACAGCCCTTACACATAAGAAAATAGCCAGCAACTGGGAGGACCGCAGTGCTACCTGAGACCCATGGCACTTGCCAGGCCCCGCCTGACCAGCCTGCCTGATTTCTGTCACCAAGCCACCTTGGACTCTGTCTATGGGTCCTGCTACCCACTGGGAGGGATGGACAAAGTCTGTTTATCCTGAGGCTTGGCAGCAGGTACAGGTGAAACGGCCTGAGAACAAAGGTGCATTCTGACATCCCAGAACCAGTTGTCAGAGGAACACAGCCACAAGGCAACCAAAGCAGCCGATAAACAGGGAAACACACACAAGCCAGAGCCTGGGGCAGTCCCCAAGTCTTCCTCTGTTTGTTTACTGGTAAAACCATGCTTTCTGAATGCTAACTTGAAATAGAATCTCCCTGGGCCTGGCTGGTACACTGTCTTTGGAACCACGAGGGCAAATCTGAGTGCTGAGGGATTTAGTTAATATTCAAGCCATCTTGACAGCCAAGCTGTCAATTCAACATCTTGGAGCCCGTTGTTTCAGTCTAACGACTCAAGGGAGGGTACAAGTGTCTCACCTTGGCCACCAGCAAGTATCCTAGGGCACTGACAGGAATGAAGATAATCTAAAGAGACACCTGTCCTCTCCTCTCTGTCTAGTGGATACTGAAACAATGGAACTGAAGAAATTGTAACTTTCCCAGGAGTTCCTGGGAGAAGGAAAAGGCTGGGATGCTGATGCCAGTCTGAGGGCCCGTTTGTCTTCTGGAAATAAATCTCACAGCCTGACAACCTGTCAGCTCACTTTGCAGGTGAGACTGGGGTCCAGACAGTGACGATGGGCAGGACCACACCTTGAGCCACACTCTTTAGCTGAGCAGACCTCATGCCCTCCATTTAAACCTGCACCTCATGTCAGTACCCCAGCAGTGGACTTTTGAGCTGTCACAGGACTTCTGGTTTCTCTTCCTGATGTGTCCATACTGAACAACCTCCTTTTCCTGTTTGTATCAGTACTTGTTTGTTTACTTGTTTGTTGGAATGAGTGGATAAGCACAGCTTGTTAGGACCACCAGGGCCCAGGCTGACTTGAGCAACTCCAGTAACGAAACAAACTGCCCATTACTCCAGGTCTGTCCCTTGTCCAGCTCTGCCTAGGCCCCACAGGAAATAGTCTGTTCAGCCAGAAGATGGAGTCTGTTGGAGTAGCCAGCCCCAAACTGGCATAGTCAGTGGCCCTATTCCCTCCCCATCCTGGGAAGCTCCCTATGAACTTGGAATGGGGCTCATGTTCCTCTGGAAACTTGGCCCACCTTGGGGCAATGAGTAAAACCAGTATCCTGATCCAAGGAAGGCTGGTGCCTTCCGGGGCACAGGCCCTTTATGTAGGTTCTATCTGAGGGAGTGGTCCCACTCTCAGTCTCCTCATTCCCAGACTTCAGGGATATACCCAGCTGCAGAAGAAGACAAAGGCAGCTAGGGTAGGATAGCATCCTCATCCATGGCTGCTGAAGGGTCTTTTGAGCAGGTTGGTCCGCAGGACACAGGACTCCCTGGAGGCCCCTGAAGCACAGCGTCTAGGAGAATCTGGGTCAGGTTCATATGAAGCTACCTTGGTGTTTCTAGTTTGTGGACTAAGGCCAAGCAGACCTAACGGTGTTCCGTGAGGAAAGAAGACACAGAGGAGCCCAGGCCCTGCCCTTGCCTGTCCTCCCTGCCCCTTCAGCCTCAGTGCAGGAGGCATTGGAGTTTACTCAGGTCTAGGCACTGAAGGACTAAATCACGACCCTGGAGATAGAGAATGACCACTAGGGAAGGACTCATTGAAAAATAACTCATCACCACACAGATTGTTTAGGGCGCTCAGGGTCCCTCCTTCCCCAACAGAAGCTCCCAATCCCAAGTCCCACATAACCTTGCCTCTTCCTGTTCCTGTACAGACACCACTCTGTGGGTAACTTAGCCACCAAGTAGGATAGGTACTCCTTTCCCAGGGTGATTACAGACTCTTCGAGCTCAGAGTCCAGAGACAGAAAACCCTCACCTTGTATTTTTACATTCTTTCCCCTGAAATGAAAAATAATTTGGTTCAAGGTCATATAGCTGGAGCTATAGAATATCAAGGAGAGTGTTAGACATAACTGATTAAATCAAATAAATAGCCATAAGTCCATGCATACATAAATAAATATACACAAAAACAAATGGCTGTGGAGGGGAAGCATTTATTTCTAGAATCATCTCAGATTGCCACTAGGCAAAGACTATATATAGTACTAGTCATCTCAGTCAAGGTCTGGAGAGCTGTGCTAAACTCAGTGGGTAAAAGTTTGTATTTTGTATTGTCTCCAAGTATCTCCCTTCAAATATTTATTAACTATACAAGGGAAAACACTAACAATAAGAGCGGAAAATTCAGCAGACACCAACTTAACCAAATGATTGATGTTAACATCACTAGTGATTAAGACAGTGTCAGTATTATATATCTGCTGTGATGCTTGGAAAATATAATCCTCCTGTTGTTGCATTCTCACCCCAAACTACATAGCACAATTCGATCATGAGAAAAATTACACAAACCCAAGCTGAGGGACATTCATTAAAATAACATATACAAAACACAATTATGGTCACAAAAGATCAGGAAAAGCAGAAAAATTGACTGAGATGTGACAGCTAAGCACAGTGGGATGATGGACTGGCTCAGAACACAGAAATAGGACACTAGTAGTACTTTGACCAATGTTAATTTCCTGGTTTTGATAAATGCATTGTGTGTAATTTAAATTGATAACACCAGATGGGGTGTGGTGGCACATGTCTGCAAGCCCAGCACTGGGGGGCCAGAGTCAAGAGGAGCCCAACCTGGATGATACAGTGAGTTCCAGGCCAGCTTTGGTTATAGAGTGAAACCCTGTAGGGAAAAAAACAAATAAATTGCTACGGTCAGAGGAAGCTAACAGAAGGGTATATGTAAATGCTCTGTACTGTTTTAATAACTTTCTTTGAATCAGAAGTTATTTCAAAGTAAGGATAAGAATTTTGATTCTTAGTAATACACACACTGGTACCTCACACACAACCCTAAAGGGAGGAAATTATCTGTGGAAGCACACAGGGCAAGGTGTGTACACATGGGAGTAACAGTCCTGACACCACAGACTCCTGTCTCCTGGCGTCTATGAAAGGCATTTCTCTGGACTCCTGGCTGACCGTGTCCTCCTGTGAAGGGGTCCAGGGACAGTCGGATGGGTGTTTCTCTTGTGAAGGATGTCAGGGTGTGGAGTAAAAGGCAGAGGCACATTCTGAGGACAGTCCTAGCCTTGTCAGCCAGAATGTAGGGACCTGTCAGGGGCCCTGGGCTCAGCCTATAAGGACTGTTACTAAGTCAGCATGGGTTCTGGCACACATCTTGTTCTCAGGGTCTTAGCACTGCATCTGTGGGGACAGAGGTTCAGCTTTCATCCAGCAAAGGTCACTACCTTTTCTACCTGCCACAATCTAAGCCCGGGAGAAAGCTCCTCAAATACCCACAATGCCCAGACAGAGGTGCAGACAAGAGGGTGGTCAGGGTCTGTCCTTAGCACTATTCACTGCTCACCTGTGATGCCATTTTGCTGATGCCACCAATGATATAGCCCATCCACAGATACAGAGTCCCACTATATACCCCAGGCTGACCTTGATCTTCCTGTCTCATCCCCCTCAGTGCTATTCCAGGCATGTGCTATCATGTCTGTCTGTTACCTAAGTCTCAAAAGTGAAGTGATGTGATTGTGTGACTAGCCTGTTTCAGTAAGCACGATGTCTTCACCAGTCATTCATAGAGCCTGTGCCCACAACTCTGCTTTCTCTTTAGAGATAAATCAAACTCCATTGTTCATATATACAAGATTTTGTTTATCCATTCAAGCAGTTGATGGAGATCAGGGTGTGTTCATCTTTCGGCTTATTGAGAACAATGCCGCTATGAACATGAATGTGTAGGTAATTTGTAATATTTATTAATTGTGAACATGCACCTGGGAGAGTGCAGGTGTCTGAGTTGGCAGTTGCAAGCCACCTGACCCCGATGCTGGTAACTCAACTGTGGTCCTTTGCAAGAGCCGAGCCATCTCCCAGCCTAGCAACTCTTTGAGACCCTGGTTTCAATGCTTTCAGTGTTTACCTACAAGTGGAAAGGGTTGATTGTATTTTATTATTGTGAATATTATTTGACACAGAGTCTCATGCATCACAGGCTGGTCTGGGACTCATCATGTAATCAAGGATGACTTTGGGCTTCTGCTTCCACCTCCTATGTGCTAGGGTTACGGGCATGCACAACCACACCCGTTTGTTCTATTTTTAATTTTTGAAGGACAGTAGCACTCTTCTCACAGCAGCTGTGTCATTGCACCTTCTGCTGTGGTTTGGGTTTTGCTTTGTTTGGGGACAGGGTTTCATGCTGCATCCCAGATTGGCTTGGAACTCATAGCAATCCTTCTGTCTCAGCTGCTTGGGTGCTGGGTCATGGGCTGGATCCTATATGTCTCTCTGAAGGTATTTACTGGAGGCTTGGCTCCCTGCTTAAAGCTGCTGTGGGTTGGTGGGCTCTTGAAGAGGTGAGGCTGACTGGGAAGAAGCTAGGACTTTGGAAGGAGATTTGGGGACCTTGGCCTCTTCCTCATTCTCTCTTCCACAAGGAAGGCTGCATCTCTCTAGTACACTCTCCATCCGGATGTGCAGCCTCACCAGAGGCCCCCCAAAGCAACAGGGCCAAATGATCATAGGCTAGAACCTCGTCTCTTTATAAATTGCTGGTGTCAGGTATTTGTTATAGTAACTGAGACTGAGTGACATAATCTCACTAGTAATACTCGGGAATTCCATCTTCCCCCACGTTGTCCTCAGTGCTTGTTTTGTTTCTATTTTGGTTAGTTGCCACACTCAGACTGTGAGTTACTACCCCCTCTGGAGAGACCCACCCCACCCTACTCACCCTGCTTCTCACTTCCTTTCCTTCTCTTTCCCGCCACCCATGCTCTTTGCCTTTTGACTCTCACCATCAAAAACAGCAAGCAAGGGAGAGAGAGGATGCTGAGCAAAGCAAGTCAGGACATGAGTATGTGAAGAGGGAGTCACTAGATGTGCCAGAAGCCCTTGGGGACTGGGGAGCTGATAGTTACCTCCCTTCATACCCTCAGGCAAACAAAACCAACCAGGAGGAGGACAGCAGCCTCCAACTCAGATGCAGGGAATAACTCTAGAACTGAAGGATGCACTGGCTCTCAGTCTCAGCTGCCCCAGGGCCAGGCACAACTGGAGAGGTATGGCCAATTGAGGACCAAAGACAGGCAGTGTGCTAGTGGGAGGGTCCCAGAGGGGGCCACAGGCTCATCCACTCTCATGAGCCCTGCATCCTCCACAGCTGTCACCCTTAACTGAGTGTTCTCTTGCAGGAGTGACTCCCACAGCTTTCTCCCAATCATGCTTTCCATAGTAGTTAGTCAGACATAGATCTAAGAACACAGGTAGGGCTGGGAGAGTTGGAGATATCTATAATACCCTGTATCTAAGAGGATCACTGTGAGTTATTCAGTGAGTTACAGACTATACAAGCCTCTATCCTGTGACCTTGCCACAAAAGAAGAAAATAAAGTCATAGGCTTGCTATTTCCCCTGAACTCCATCTACCCAATCTGTAGGGCTCTTATACTCAGTTCTTTGCTGAAGAGGACTGGCTCCTTTCTCCAGTTTTGTCTACAACTCCTTCCTGCAACATCTCCAGATCTAGTTATTCCATGAAGGGGAGTTTGTTTACCCGGTCACACATAAAACAAGCCACGGTTTGAATGCTGATTTCTGAAATCCAACTAAGTAGGGTTGAAGTTAACTCTCTCAACAACACAGCTGGTATGCCCCCACAGGCATCTCAGCTCTGCAAGTGGGACCCACACCCTAGCTGTCTACACCCTAGGGCCAGACACTTTTTTTTTTTTTTTTTTTTTTTTTTTTATGACAGCTATGTGGTGCTGAGGGAAAGAGATAAAGTAGGTGAGGCTGCTCTTAGTTGTCACCCCCTCCCTTGGGAGGGGCATACATTTTGTTGCTGCTGTTGTAGTTTTTTCACACACACACACACACACACACACACACACACACACACACACACACACCCCACTTGGGAGAAAAATAGAACAGAGGTGGCATTTAGAGGTAGGAAAGTAGGAAATCCTACCAGCCTGGTCAACAGCAGGAATTTAGTTCTTGGGGATGCTGTTTCCTTAGCAAATGTGCAGCAGGAAATACAGAGAGGGAGCAGGTCCACATCCAGACTCTGGTGACTTAGGGAACCCCTTCCCAGACTACTTAGAGATAGGTGGTCCCAGCCAGAGCCCCTGCCCACCAGCTGACACTTCCCACAGGAGTATCCATCCCTCCATGAGTAACCAAAGGCCAGGTTCTGCTTTTTGGCTCCTTGCATCTAACTATCTCCTTTTGGGAAAATTAGGACCACAGCAGGGAAGCCCTTCTCTGTTTCAAGATCCTTTGTGTCTCTATATGTGAACTCAACAGACCACCACATCCCTTCTCGCCTCAATGGCAAGGAAATATCTCTGACTGTATCTCAAGGCAATGTGGGGCTCGGCCTGCCCAGGGAAGAACTGAGGCTCTTGGGAAACTCTATCTGTTGTGAAACTCAGAAAGGAAAAGGCAGTTGGTGACAACACTCTCTTTTCCATCCCCTCCATGCCACACAAAATTCATCAGCTCTGAGCCTGTGCTGAGAATGCACTCATAACCCCACTCTGTGCCTGCAAGGTTTGAGACAGTGGGACATTGGCCCAGGCACTGCCAGGGATTGTTGGGGCCACTGATGCGATGGAGTCTCCATTCTTAATGTCTCCAGCAAAGCGCTGCCACCTACCTCGGTCACTATGGTAGAGAGGAAGACGTCCTTGCTGTACTCCCAGCCATCCAGGCAGCTCTCCTGCTCCAGCTGGTCCAGGTCCACGTCCACTCCCGGTTCCAGCCCCAGGGCAGAGAAGTTGGCGATGGCGGCCAGGCGGTAGCGGCTGCAGCTCTGGGGCACCTGTCGTCCGTCCTTCATCTCCAATGGGATGCTGTGGTTGCGCCACGCGCTGCTCAGATTCACTGTGTCAGGCACACGGCAACGATGCTCCGGTGACCCTGCCAGGAACACTACTGACATACCATTGAAGCCATTGGGAATGATGCTGGCGCTGAGTAGGAAGAAGATGAGGCGCTGGAAGGGTCCCCACTCCCCCAGGAAGGAGGTCACCTCGTCGTAGTCCCGCATGTTCCAGCCTCTCCTTCACAACTTGGACAAGGGAGTAAGAGGGAATCTGATGATTGATGTGCCCGGCGGGGGCCTTCCTGGGGTGGCTGCGTGCAAACGCGCTGTGGGTGGTGCAAAGCTCCTAGGGGCTGGCACCAAGCTCGGAGAAGCCGAGTCCTTGGGACCACACCCCCTGTGCGGGAGAGACACCCAGAGGCTACCACTCTTCACAGATCGGGGAGGTGTTCCTGGGTCGGCTCCGCCTCCTGTTCGGTTCCGTGCACCCAGCAGCTTTACAGGCAGGGCCTCCCGCTAGGGATCCGCTGTGCAATGTTCGGCGAGCCCGGGAGCTCTTCTCAAACCCACGTGGGAGGGTGAGCGACAGGGAGGAGCCATGTACGGAGAGCAAGGTCTCTAAGGGGTTGACCCTGGCTTCAATGTCCGCGTCTTGCCAGCCCTAGCCCGGGGCAGGAGTCCATTGCTCCACAGCACCAGTCTGGAGTCTGAGCTCAGGCGGGTGACAGTTAATCAAGTCTATGCTCTCAGGAGACCTCTGTGGGTGACAGGAATGCCACCTCTTCACATACACACCAGTGTGGGAGCTCAAATATGTGCCTTAGCAAGACCCGGACAGCGGGGAACCGGACCAGAGAAGCGTCCTTGGAACAGCAGGATCCTCACCTTGAAAAGAGGCAACTGTGGCCCGGGAGCCTGCAAGGGGTGTGGGAGGTCATGCTGAGTCAGTGACTCATTCTGTACCAAAACGGCCCGGTCATCACTGGCCTGTGAGTCGTCTCTGTGTCCTCTTGAAGATTCCCTGGGGCCTCTATAGGAGACACCAGAAGGACTCAGGGCCACTGCGGGGAACATAGCAATGGAGTCACATTTTTCACCATAGCTTAGACTGATGTTTGCCCTTTTGCACTCTCCAGGCACTTGGGGCCCTTTATTGCCGCATGGTGCCAAAACCTTCTTGGACAGAAAGGCCTGCTATTTGCAGAAAGGCCGGTTCCCTGTCCAGGAACCGAGGGAGTAAAGAACAGAAAGAGGACAAATAATGAGATTTGGCTCTCAGATCTGGCAGGGTGACCAAAGGAGGGCCAAGACTGCCTTTTTCTCTCTCTGCTCAGTATCCACCTATTAGGCCCCTGGAACACTGTGTCCTAGCCCAGGCTGGAGCCTGTGGCCTGGGATCCTTGGGACTGTCCGAGGAGCCCACCACTTTGCACAAACCGGCTTGTTTCTACAGACCCTCTGCAAGAGACCGAAGGGGACTAATGCTTGTTCTTGTTTGTTTTGGTAGCCTCCAGTCTGGCTTTCCACCACTTAGAACCTCAGTTTCCTTTCCTATTATTTAAGCCCATGTCACCTAATGTGCCAGGAGACTTCTGCTTTATGCCTTTGATTTTATTTGTTTGTTTTGTGAGACAGGATCTATGTATGTAGCCCTGGCTGTCCTAGAATCCCCTATGTAGACCAAACTGGCCTCAACTCACAGAGGTCTGCCCACCCCTGTGTCCTAAGTGCTGGCTATGCTAGAGCAAGATCGTGAGTTCCAGGCCAACCTGAGCTATGGTAAGACCCTGTGTCAAAAAAGTTTTTTAGTGTTTTTTATATCCTTATCATTAAAATTACTAAAAACTAATATTAATCAGCTAAATATTAAATATTAATTGAGTAACATTAAAATAGTAATATTATTAAAACATTATTAACGTGTAGCCCCATGCCTGGCTGATGCAGTGCTAGGCACCTAGGCATCAGACATTGGTTAGGGCTTTGTGGGTACTGGGTAAGCACTCTACCAACTGAGTAGACACAGGTCTTGCTAAGATGTCCAGACAGCTCTTAAACTCCTCTGGGCCTGAGAGATCGTCCCTCTCCAGCCTTGTGCCCAGCTCAAATAGTTGCTTTGATTGCTGCATTTCTTAGTGTCCCTGTATGGGTTTCAGCAGCAGGCAGCAAGCGCCTCGCCCTCTTTCACTTGCCTCCGTCCCGTTTCACCCTTGTTGCTACTGGAGAATGCAGTTTGGTCCTCTGAAGGAAGTAGGAGACACCACTCCTCCACACTGCCCAGGTGTCAGTCAACTGGGCTGTTTTCCAGTTGTTGACAAGGGTATGTAAATCAGCTTGTTTTCCCTCCATACAGAATGAATCAAAACTTGAGTATAGCTTACTATACTAGAAGGATTCCCTTCGTCATTCTTTAGGGTCACCCCTAAGATGTGTCGCAGTGACTTTTGGTTGGTATTGACACAGTAAGCTAACACTGACATGGGAGTTGGGGCTGTGTACTTTGCCCCCAACAGCTGGTTGCAGAAAACTAACTACCTCACAAAGCTACAGGTTTGAGCTGAGAGAGACATGCTGCTATAGCATAGGTAGTGTCTGACCTACCCATGGTTGACATACAGGCACATACCCTGTGACCTGCTTTCGCGTGACCCAGAACCTACCACTTCTGTCCTATGATGAATTGCTGATCAGCTTGCTAATACAACTTAGAAGGACCTGATGATATCCAGCACATATTGGGCTGTCTTTACTACTTTGATAGTCCATTGCCTGGTTGCTGGTTCTCAATGGTGCACCAAAGTGGACTTGAATATAATCATTTCTTTGGTCTGTTGGCAGTGCCCTATCTGGTAAACAGGTATTTCTTGATATTTTCCCAGGAAAATCACATGATATCTCCTCATCTGGATGGACTGACCCTTCTGAAGCTGTGAGTCAAAAATAAATATTTCTTTATTATGTCAGGCATCCTGCTAGAACCATGAGAGTGATGGGAGATGTCATTCTGTAAATGTTTCTCTTATTGGTTAAAGAATAAAGCACTGTTGGCAAATAGGAAGGCAAGATAGGTGGTACAAGGAGACAAGGAGGATTCTGGGAGATGTAGTAGGAGATGCAAGATGTAGAGACTTGAAAGAGGAACAGGTCCAGGCCCTCTCTCTAGTAAGATAAGACCATGTGAAAATACTTAGATTAATAGAAATGGGTTAATATTTAAGACAGAGCTAGCCAGTAAGGAACACTAGTAACAGGTCAACAGCTTTATATCTAATACAGTGTCTCTGTGTGTTATTTGGGGCTGACGCAGCTGTGGGACCAGGCTGGCGGGAAAACTGCTCGAAACATGAGAGCACTAAAACAAAACACCGTGACCTGTTGTTTCCTTAAAGCTCCACCTCCCATGATCATCCTGATGCAACTGAATTCCAACATGATTTTCTGTTGTTGAGCAGGCAGTCAACCATAGCATTATTAATAAAGGGTACTGAGAAGAATGGCTTTAATGTCCTGTTAATTCTACATAACGTGGCTTCACTTCTGATTTAAGTTTTGGGGTTCATTTGGCCTTCAAACTAATATTCTTGAGACCAAGGGATCTGTCCCAGAGGTTTCCTGGTCAATGTATGATAGCTCTTTTCTGCTTTCATTTCTGTTGTTGTGCTACAATACCCCAACAGAAAGCAACTTAGGAGAGAAAGGGGTTTATTTTAGCTCACAGTTTCAGATTAAAGGTTCTCGTTGTGGAGATGCCAAGGCAGAAACTTCAAACAACCAATCATATCGACAGTTAAGCATCCAGAGAAATGAATGCATGCATACTCACTTGTGCTCAGCTAGATTTTCCCACTGTTACACAGTTCAGGGTACCCTGCCTAGGGAACAGTGGTGCCCACACTGGGGTGGGTCTTCCCACATAAACTAATTAAGACAATCCCTTCCTGGCATGTTCACAGGCCAATCCAATGCAGACAATCCCTTACTGAGACTTTTCTTTCCAAGCAATTCTAGGTTATGTCAAATTGACAAAGTTAACCATCATAAGATCTTTTTGTTGTTGTTGTTGTTTTGTTTTGTTTTGTTTTTGAGACAGGGTTTCTGTGTATTGCTTTGGAGCCCATCCTGGAACTATCTCTGTAGACCAGGCTGGCCTCAGACTCACAGAGATCCACCTGACTCTGCCTCCCTCCTGAGTGCTGGGATTAAAGGCATGTGGCGCAAATGCCCGGCTCCATCATAAGATCTTAGCCAGAGAAAGAACTGGAATAAAGTATAAACAGAGTGGGCCACAAACTCAAAAAAAAAAAAAAAAAAAAAAAAAAAAAAAAAAAGCTCAGCCTATAGCTTAGGCTTAGCTCTTATAACTTGTTAACCCATTTCTATTCATCTACCTGTGGCCACATGATTCGTGGCTTTCCCCGTTCTTCTGCATGTCTTGTTCCCCCTGTGTTCAACTGGAAACTCCACCTTACTTCTTTCTTGATCTCTCTGTCTGCTATACTTCCTGCCTATCTGTTGGCCATTTATTTTATTAAACCAATTACAGGGACTTATCTTTACACAGAATAATCAAATATCTTCCAACAATAAAGCCCCCACATTGCAGGAGGTATGGAGGTTATTGTACTCACATATAAGCACAAAGGGAACCAGGAATGTTAACACAGGATTGTCCCTTCAAAGGGAGGGATGCTCGGCCTATTATCTGCCCAGAAGGCTTGGAGTGGACATAGTTAGTAGCCTGATGACCTTTGAGCCAGATCCTCCTCAGTCCCTTATCATGAACTTGACAATCTATAGAACCTATCTTTATGGAAGATGTCACGTGAACTTTACAAATAATTTTTGATGTAGTCATATCTTAAGCTTTATTGTGCAGATAGATTGAGTTAATTATCACTAGGAAAAATTTCACCAAATTGTGCTGTGCTTACATAGGCCAACACCAGCTACTTAGCTATGTTGAACCAAACTGCCTCCTTGTCTCCCATGAATCTTTACATTACTGACTGTGGCGGTCACGGAAACCCATACGCTACATTATCAATAGTGCTAGGAAGCAGTTGGAAATATGTTTACTGGGTCTAGAGATAAGAGTACTGTAAATAGACTGTCCTTTGGGGCCACCAGTTCACACACACACAAAAATGACATGGAGTCTTATTGTTAATTATGAAGGCTCAGCCTTAGCATAGGCTTGTTTCTAACTCTTATAACTTAAGTTAGCCTATGTCTATTAATTCTATTTTCTGTCTTGTGGCTTTATTACCTTATATCCTCACTGTACATCCTGCTTGCTCGGCATCTTCTGGTGTCCACTTTCTTCTCCCCAGCATCCTCTCTGCCCAGAGATTCTGCCTAGCCA